TTACTAAGCTCCATGACAATGGTTCCAACAGTTATTTGAGAATCTCTATTCAACCATTTTCCCTGCTTCTTCAAATCTTTCATGTTTCTTTTTTTGTGGTGCTCACACACATGGCTCAGTTTAAAGTCAGGCAGGGTGAAGTGGCCACCCACAGCAGCATGTTGGTTGGGGGGTCTCAGCCCTCTCCATCTGTTCCCCCAGAGGATGTGCTGCAGACAGCAGCCATCTTGCGCAGTGCTGGCCTGGCCATCTCACAAGGCACCTCCCAGCACGGCCCAGGAAGGCCTTGAGAGGCAGACCAGGCCGGGCCCCCAGGAGGCCCCATGTATGCACCTGCACCAGTGTGCTCATAGGACAAGCATGGCAGCACCTTTCCAAGCAGGCACTGGCCAGGGAGCAATCGAAATGGGGCATGTTTGGAAGGACAGTGCTGCCCGAACCCAAGGCCTTTCATGTGCCTCCTCAGCTAGTCCACTAACCATGCTGTGGAGGTGGTTGTCCTGTTGTCAGTGTGGTGTAGATCCAGCCAGTTGACCTCTGTATGTTGAATGGGCAGGGAGGCTCCTTAGGACTCTTCTCAGACAGCATAATGGATGGGCCAGCCTGGCTCATGTGTTTGCAAACAAGGTTTTTCCCTTCTGGATTTCCCTGCAAGCCAATTTCCTTCCCAGGGGTGCAACATGTCCTTCAGTATACTCTTGCCAGAGTGAATACTTGCGTCGTGCCTGGGTTAGTTTCATATTAGAACTGATCGCTGATGCTCTCTTAAGAACTGTCTGGTTGGCCCTAAGTGATCCCCAGTTCAGCACCCATTGGCACTATGGCAACAGCAGGGACCCCCAGTGGTTCCCAAAAAGCTCTCCACACCTTACTCCCTTGAAAAGCATTTTTTAAAAATTAAAAATTTGGGGAAATGTCAGTGCCATCTTTTTTCCCTCCTGTTTTAGCACCTCCCCTTGCTGTTTCCCTCCTCTCTACTCCTTTGCCTTGCTGTTTCTCCCTCCCAGTCTCTCGGCTCCCTCTTTCTGTTTCCTCAGCCTCTTTAGCTGACTTTTGTCTCGCCAGGCCACAGTGGCAGCCATTATGTGACTAGCTACATCCTCTGTGGGAGCTATTTTTATTCTTTATTCTTTTCAGCACCAGGCTAAAACCTTTTTATTTTCCCAGTGTTTTAAGATCTGATTGTTTTAATGGGGTTTATTGTCAGTTGAATTTTTACGACACTGTGTTTTATTTTACATTTTGTATTGTTAAACCATCCTGAGACTTCAGTAAGGGATGGTCTAAAAGGTTTTAAATAAATAAATTTTGTAATGGTTCCCTCAGCAGTTTCATAGAGCTTTGGTTATGGAGCAGTATAGAAATGAATGAATGACTGAACAGCATTCCCACTCTTGCCTCAATAAAAATTTTGGGACCCTTGTACTGCAAGATAATTGTCTTACAATGTGACTTCTCCAGTTACACATAGAGCTGCATCCAGTGTTGTCCTACTTAAAGCAGACCCTTTGAAACAAATAAGGCTTAAGTTACAGTAACGTTAGGCAACAGCCCAACCTTTGGAGCCTTATTTTAGAAGGAAAATTGGTGTGGGAAGGATACATCCTGACTTTATGTATGAATGGCCCAAGAATTCCTGACTTTACGTATGAATGGGCCAAGCCCAAGAATGACAGCAAGCTCTGTATTGTTTATTATTACATCTTGATCCCACTGTTTTGCCTCTTGCAGAGAGCTCAAGGTGGCTCACATGGGCTTGCTTCTCACCATTTTGTCTCACAACAGACTTGTGAAGTAGGCTAGACTGAGAGGCAGTGCAGACCAAAAGTCATCTGGTGAATGGAGACTGAGACTAAAATGCAAAGCTGACTACATTGGCCTGGATTCCCAGTGTGGCCCTCGGTCTCCAGCAGTGCTCAGCCATATGTCCCTAGGAAATGAGTAAGCCAGGCCCAGTAGAGGATAGCGGTCCACCCCCCCCCCCACCCCCACTGTTTGTCCCCAGTATCTAGTCATTCTCTGAAGTGGAGGGTTAAAAACAAGATCTGATTGGGCTGATAACTGATAATAGAGCTGTCTTCCATTAAAACTGGCAATGCTTTTTAAAGCCATCCACGATGTGAGCAGCAATGCAGCGCTTTTTAGAAAAACATCTATGGTCATTACCACATCCTGTGGCAATGACCTGATTATCATTACTGGAGCTTCCTTTTGTTTGCTCTGAACTTCCTGGCCTTCAGTGGGATGACCTTGTGTTTGAGTGCTCTGAGGGAATTGATTTGACTTCCACTCACACCCTCTGTACCATTGGTGACGTCTGTAAGGCTGTTTCATGGATTTATCATGTGTGTATCCAGCTGTGCTTTCAAGGAGATGAGGCTGGCCAAGGTAGACTTGTTCCATTTTGTCTTCACTGCAGTCCTGCAAGGTGGGACCGGCAGAGACAGGGAGCTGATGGCTTTGCGCCTCCCAGTGGGCTTCATGGTTGACTCCCAAATTTGGGGAGCATACCACTGCAGAAATCTTTAAAAGACCTATTTAGCTTGTTTTCAAGCATACTACTACTACTGTTAATAATAATACATTACATTACATTTATATCCTGCCTATCTTCCTCTTGCAAGGACTCCAAGCCAGCTTACAGGGTTTTCTTCCTTTCCATTTTATCCTCACAACAACAACCCTGTGAGGTAGGTTGGACTGAGAGTATGGCCCAAAGTCAGCCATTGAATTCCAGGACTGAGCAGGGACTAGAATCCAAAACTCTCAGGTCCCCAGCCCAATGCTCTAACCATTATGCCACATTTGCTTGCAGTTTGTCAGTTTTAGCCTTCTGTCACTGTTCGCCACTGAAATTCAGGAGCAAACCTCTAATTTTTGTTGCTACTATGAATTTTAAGATCAGTGGCAGGGGCTGCACCATGGATGCAAACCTGCTTTGTTGCCTACCCTCTTATACAGCCATCCCCAAAGTTATGCCTTGTGCCAGTACAATGCTCTTTTTCCATAATAATAATTTAAAAATAGTCAGTGGATAATCAACTTCTTGGACTAGCTGCATTGTCCTCACGGCACAATTTTCAAAAGCAACTCTTGGCAGAATTAACATAGGGCAGTTAATCATGTGCACAGCTGATGCAAGTGAGAGCTGTGGCTCGAGTGATTTTGGGATAACCTTTCCAGGCACTACATTGACATCAGACTCCTTCCCCTGAGTGCTTCTCCAGTGGCAATCAGGATGTGGCAAGAAGGGAGTGGTGGCCTTCTCAGTGGTGGCCTCTCAGCTGCAAAATGATCTCCTCACTGGGGTCCACCTGGGACCAGCATGTTCATCTTTTGTGCACCAAGTTAAGATTATATGTTTCAGCTCTTGAAGTGTTTTTAAATGTTGTATTTTAGTGATTCTATATTGTGTTTTTGTTACGTTGCATATAAATATGCATGGTGTGGAGAAAGTGGAGAAGAAGACATTTCCCCCCTCTTCCCATAACACTCAAACCCGGGGTCATTCCATGAAGCTGATTGGTGGGGGATTCAGGACAAATAAAAGGAAGCACTTCTTCACATAACACACAGTCAAACTGTGGGATTCTCTGCCACAGGAAGTGGCGATGGCCACCAGTTTGGATGGCTTTAAAAGTGGATTGGGCAAATTTATGGAGAAGAGAGCTATCCATGGCTTGCTATCATGTGCTACATCCTTTATCAAAGGTAGTGTGCCTGCATCTCTCAGTTGCTGAGGGGCTTGGGCAGGCAGAGCTTGTACCCGTCCTGTGACGGGGATCCTGTGGGCAGCTGCTTGGCCATTGAGTGAGCATGGTGCTAGGCTGGATGGGCCACTGGGGTTTTCTAAGGTTCTTATGTATTGTGTATTTTTTCATGAGGGCTTAGTCTGTTGGGTGGTGAAGAAGTGATGAGGATGGATTCTCTAGTGACGAGCTTTTCTAAGCAAGTTTGTATGGAAAAAAAATCTGGAACTAGAAATAGTGTGTTTGGTCCCTTGTGCCATTCCAAGGAGTGAGAGATAAAGCTCCCTCAACAGTCACCGTGCAGTGTTGCTTTCAGATGGCAGGTTAAATAAGAATATAAAAAGGGTGGGGATTGTTTTGGTAGTGCAGCTTGCTTGTTTTATGGTCTCAGCTCTATAAAGAAAGTGTTTGTGGAAAGGCTGGCTTTCCTAAAGGTAGCAGAGTAAAACAAGCCTACATTGTCTACAGCAGTTCCTGGTAGGGTGGTCTCTTTTACAGAGAGCAGTCCTCTTTTTGAAAGGTGTCTGAGTCCAGTTGAAAGATAAAGAATGATAAGAGGGCTAGGGCTTTGAGGATAGCCTTCAACAATCAGCACCAGCATACCAGACTGAACTACACCCATGTCACACCACTCCCTGCTGATGTGTGTTGCACTGCATTTCTATTTAAATTAAGTAAATTATTTGTAAATGCATGCCTGTATGTAGAAATTAGCATGTGATTTTAAACACGCAAGTGTGCATTTATTTTCATGACATTGCATTTATATCCCATCCTTTTTTCTCTTGTGGCTTACATAGCTCCCTTTTATCCTCACAACAACAGCCCTGTGAGGTAGGTTATATGAGAGTGAGTGACTGTACCAAAGTCACCACTCAGCCTGGTAAGGACTAGAATCCAGATCTCCCAGGTCTCCAGCACTTTAACCACTGCATCACATTGGATGTATTTCCTTTTTTATTTTTTGGCAGTGTCAAAGTGGCTACCCAGTTTCCAGTGCAACCTTATGCAAGTTGAGTTGGAAGCAAATGTCACTGAATTCAGTGGGGCTTGCTGTAGGATTGCTTGAATACCATCTATTGTAATTATTTATTGGGTTGTTATATTCTAGTTAAAATGTGTATCCAAATAATAAATATCCACTCACAGATTTTTTAAGAATTGGACAAAATTGGGCATATTTTGGTAGTAAACTGGTAAATACCCATTCTGATTTGCTCTTGCTTCTGCTATTCATCCCCCACTCTGTAGTTTGCACTGACAACGAGAAAGAAATTGAGACTGATCAGCAGATGGATAACTTGTACCTGAAAGCTTTGGAGGGATTTATCACTGTCATCACACAGGATGGAGACATGATCTTTCTGTCAGAGAACATCAGCAAATATATGGGCTTGACGCAGGTAAGACATTCTCTGGGTGCTTCATGTAGCAAGCTGGATAATATAACCTCTGCTTTTCTGTTTTTCTTGGTTCCGCCAATTTGTCAAATGTGACTTTAGCAAGCTCTTCAACAGTATATCAAAAGTGATGTGCATCATGATGCCCGAAAACACTATTCTAATGAAGGAAATTCTGCCCTTATTATTATAGGATAAGAATCACTGTAAGGTGTTTTGCCCTACTCTGAAATTACCGCTGAACAAAGAAATCTACAGGTACAGCAGCGCAGTGCAGCATAGGAATCTGCACATGGAGGAGATCTGTGTACACTGTTCCCCCACCAAATGCTGCTGTCTGCTTTGTCAATGTCCATCACCTGTTTGAAGAATAGGGGATGGCCTATTTCTCATACCTGAGCATATTTTTATGATGTCATTCCTGATCCAGGAAGCATTCATCCACGCCTCACCTTTTCTTTGGTTCCTATCTATTGAAGCTTCTGAGACTTGGGTGAGCTACATTTGCAGCCAAGAGACTTTGTAGTTGACAGAAAGCATGGTCAAGTCGATAAGAGCAGTCTGGCCTGCAAAATTTATGGCCCTCAAACTGAGCAGCCCGCTTGGTCCCTGTTTCCCACATAATTTTCTTGCCAACTCTGTAGACTGCAAAGGCAAGTATTGCCAAGCTTTGAGCAGACCAAACTACCTGTTGAATATGCCATTTTAGCAGACCACAAGATGTGTACACCTAGAATAAGAAAGTTACATTAGAACTTGAAATATGTACTTGATGCTTTTAACTAAACTGTTACTCTCCCCCAATTTCAGTTGCTTATCATTGAAATAAGGTTAATAGAGTAACACACATCATTGACACACATCAATGGGTCAAGGAGGTATGACCCTCTTTCCCATGTGCATTCACTGTACATTAGATAAAGGCAGGGATGGATGAAAAATTGTTCCAATTTGGTTTTCGTAAGAATTTACCTAAGTTCACAAAGTTCAGTATATTCAGGTCAAAATAACTTGAGAGTAATGTTTAAAAAATGAAGGGGAGAAATCAAAATTATCAGAATCATCCATCCAGACCCAGAGCATTGAAAGCTAGTTCTTAAATGTCTGGATTTGAAACCCTAAGTATTCAACCATGTTTGTGTTTCTGAATAAGAGTTTTTGCCCTTTTGCTATATGGTGGGCAGGTATATTGTGGCCTTCTCTAGGCTGGGAATAAGTGTACCTATTGAATTTGGCTGGCGCAAATATGTGAGGATTACACTGCAGTTAATTTTCAATTACGACTGTCTAAAATTTGCAGCAAAATCCTTTAAATTAGGGAGAGAAAACCCTGACTTTTTAAAATTTTTTAATTAATGTGGGAAAAAGTAAACCTGACAAATTCACCTCTCCCTAGGAAAGGTGCCTGGATGTTGCTGTAGGTAATCAAGCAGTGATAGGACAGCCATCAATTCTGGCTTAAAGGTGCAGTCTTGTGTACGTTCAGACAGGAAAAAAGACCTACAGCTCCTAGCATGCTTCTACAGCTGAGATTATTCATTAAGCAGTGGCATAAATGGCCCCTTCCAACTCTGTGATTCTTTGAGGTTATGAGAAAGTCCTAAGAACTAGTGAGGAGGAGGAGCAAACTGATCACTATTTCTAATAGTGGGGATAACTATCAGCCTTGTCAGCCTTCAGAAAGGAATGGGAAAGAAATCTAAATACATTTTAAATACTATGACAATAATAACAGTTATGCTGTGAATTTACCATGATTGGTTCTTCATTTGATATCTAAGTTCCCCATAAATAGCAAAATATTCCAGAAAGGCTGTGAAGAAAGAGAAATACCTAACAGAAGCATGTAAATTCTGTCATACGATGCCTTGATTATTTGGGGAATAATGGATGTAAAGTGTACAATTCTAGACTATAGTCCTGTGTAATTGTCATACATAGCCTTAAACAGCTTAGAATTAGGATACTTAGCAGATCACCTTCATTTACATACACCCACCCAACTGTTAAGATCATCATAAGAGAGAGGCCTTGCTAGTCATCTCAAAATTATTGGAATAACACTGGGTAATACCTCAGCTGCAGTTCTTCTTGTCAGCAGCACCCACCATGTGGAAAAAACCCTGCCTTGTATACTTCAGGAGGCAGAAAAAAATGATGTACTTTAAATGCCTCCTGAAAACACACCTGGTTTTCCCCAGCTTGTAATTCTGTTAACCATTCTGTTCTGTTTTGCTGTTTCTGTACTGTTCTACTGTTGTTGTTATTGTTTTGTTCTTAATTATTTTTAAATGTGATATTAATATTTATATTGAAACTGCTTAGGGTTTTTCCTTAATATTTAGTGGTATAGAAATAGTAAAAACAAATACATATATTTTCATACATAATGTAGTTTTATTACAGCTCCATTTCCTCCCCTTGCCACCCCCTGATTTTTGTCTTCTTTTAACTGTTGCCAATCAGGTGGAGTTGACTGGGCACAGCATTTTTGACTTCACACACCCATGTGATCATGAGGAAATTCGAGAAAACCTCAGTTTGAAAAATGGTAATTTCTTTTTTTAATGCAGAGACACTACAGCTTTTTGCTTTAAGCTTGCCTAGGAAGGGTGTGCATCTCTTGAATTAATTATTTTGCCTTTTTTTCCCCCAAATGCAAGACATAGATCTGGCTTCGTCTGATGAATTTATATAATCCAAATATTGCTTCTTCTCTAATACCCTTAGTTTATGATTCATGAATCTTTGGCTCACAAGCTCAAAAGTTCCAGTCCAAGGTCTCCTTTCTTCGGCACTTTATTCTCAGCAATTAAGTTCAGCAATTGGAGTTAATAGGAAGGAATTGCTTCATGGTGCAATTTTTGTCTGTCTGTCATATAATGTTTTGTGAGAAAATGAATATTGTGTGTGAGAGTGACGAAGAGAGGAGAAGAGAGAGTGCAGTGGCTCTGTCCACCTTTGCTCTGGTCCCATTCCATTTCTACTTTGGTCCCTCTCTCTTCTGGTGTGCAGTCCATTATGCAGTTAGCCATGAAGGAGTGACACCTCAGTCCAAAAGGGATTTACCCCTCCTGTAATAGGAAGCACCTTCTTACTTTCCCCTCCTATTTTATCTTGAGGAGATGTTGGGACGAAACTTTGGGCTCACATATCCACTCCCTGTTCTTAGCAGAAGGGCAAGACAGTAGCTGTGTCATGAAATTAACCCTACTCTTCAAGCTGAATCTATCTTAGGGGGTCAGGGAGTTCAGCGAAGGACTCCCCTCCCAGTTAAATTGTTAACTTCTATATAGAAAAGAGGAGAGGGAGCAGATGAGTCCAATGTCAGTTCTACATCTCACCCCAGGCACAGTACTGAGGGTCAGGTAATGACTGAAATCTGTCAGAGAACTTGGAACACTTAATGACTTTAGAATGTCTCCAGCTGGCTTTGTGGTGCGTCAGTGTCAACAGAAAGCTGTTCTGCAGAGATGGTAATTGCCTAATTTAGCAATCCACCACCTAGAAAATTTGTAAAGTATCTCAAAACAATAGACTTAGTGTATTCAAAGGGTGAGTCAAATAATCTGTTAATTCATGAATAAAGCATTAATCTGCTCAAATCTCAGGAGGCATTGACATCTGATCTTTTTATAAGATAAACTGACTATTTCACTACCTCATGTGACAAAATGACGAATTTATCATGTGATAATTTCAGTCCTCATGAGAATAACATTGCTATCTGAAAGAACAAATACTTGAGGAATTCAGTCTCTGCAAATTCTGGTGCAAACTGAACTGATCCGCACCTCCCAGTCAAATGTGAAGACAAGAATGCAAGCTTATCCTTTGGATTTCACATTTCTCCAAATTTAGCAGTGCAGACTCTATCTCAACAAAATTACATTTAAAAATGGTATTTTAGGATAAAATGTGGTGGTGGCAGCAATTTGTTATTTATGCATGTTTGTATCTTGCCCTTTTACTTCTTGCAAGATAGCTAGACATATATACATTTTGATAAAATAATATGTAAATACATGTTCTAATTCTTAATTTATACAGAGTTGTTGTGATTGGGTGGGATTTTTAGTGCTTTTTCCAATCACACATTAATAGAATGGACTTATGAACAGAGGTGAAATTGTTTCAGACCGGTAGTGGACTGATCTGTTTAATTTCATAATATGACTTCATCTACATTTTTTTTAGGTCCAGGCTTTGGGAAAAAAAATAAAGAGATGTCCATGGAGCGTGACTTTTTCATGAGAATGAAATGCACAGTGACCAATAGAGGAAGAACTGTAAATCTCAAATCTGCCACATGGAAGGTGACCACTTTTACTTAACATTGGTTGAAAGTTTCAATATACCTCAGCTTTAAAAAAAACGTATATGCTTACATAGTTCCTTAAACAAGCTCTTTAATAATATGTATAACTTTTTATGTTTCAGGTTTTGCACTGCACTGGACAAATCAAGGTCTATAATACATGCCCTCCTCATGCACTGTGTGGCTATAAGGAACCCCTTTTATCCTGTCTTATATTAATGTGTGAGCCTATTCAACATCCTTCCAATACTGACATCCCACTGGACAGTAAGACATTCCTAAGCCGTCATAGTATGGACATGAAATTCACCTACTGTGATGACAGGTAAATGATTAACTGTTAGTTTATTGTGAGTTGTTAGTAGTATAATGCACTTCTGGCATGGTAAATTGGGAGGTGACCGCCTTCAAAATGTTCTTAGATATTGGAAAAAAAATCCAGTAGTTTATTTAGTTATTTTATTACATTTATACTCCACTGATTTTCCTGCAAGGAATATAGAGTGGCTTGCATAATCCTCTGCCTCTCCATTTTATCCTCAGAAGAACCCTGTGAGGTAGATGGGGCTGAGAATCAGTGACCAGTCCAGAGTCATCCAGTGAGCTTCATGGATTTCCTAAATCCCAGTCCAACACACTGGCCACTAGGCATGCCAGCTCTCAACAGAATGGCATGAGAATGAGACAACAGCCTCTTAGTCTAGGTGAGGCTTTGGTCTTTAGCTAAGGGATCATATTATGAAGGGGAAAAATCCTTAGAAGCAGAAAACTAGCAAAACGGAGTGGTCAATCTGGAAGTTTTTTCCCTGTTGTGCTAGGTTTTTACTTAAATCTTTCACATGGGGAAGCACTGAAAAATGGCATCTTCAACTGCAACCTGAAATAGTAATGTTTTGTTCTGTTGCAGGAGGCCTGAGGTCTGGTCTACCAATGAGGGGGGAGAGTGTATTATAGTACTTTTTATTTTAAGAAAATTAAGTGAACTGCCCACTAATAGACAGGTATTATCAAATTTAAGCAGGGTCATGTTCCTCCTTGTTGCAGGCCAAAGACATGCCTGGATTTGAAGATGGAAGAAATGCCTTTGACTAGCTTTGGTTGTTTAAAAGCAGTGGCCCATCCTTGGAATACTATACTGCAGAATGATGCTCCATTAGCAGAACTTAACTTCTATACAAAAGAGGGTATTCCAGAGTACAAATGCTTACTTGAAACACTGTCATCTAAGCCCATTCTTTGCAAATAATCCAGGAGCTGGGATGTTGACAGTAATGAGGCATTCTGCGTGTGTTCAGGTGTGCTCTGTTCAGAGACTGCTGCTTGCAACTAGTGCCTGGTTTGGGAATCCAGGCTAGCTTTGTAATAAGACATGGGGACAAGAATATTTTGTTCTGACTAACTAGCTTACCTGACCCGATTTTCCAGCTGTCCTGTGATACAGAGCTAGCTGGTTGATCAGTGCAGTGTGGTAGTTAGAATGTTGGACTGGGGACCAGGGATATTTATTTATTCGCATGTATTTATAGGCTGCCTATACTTACCAAGGCCTTCCTAGGTGGCTAGGTGGATATCTCAGTTGTATCTCCCACTCAACCATGAAGCTCACTGGTTGACTTCAGGCCAGTCACTCACTCGCAGTCCAACCTACCTTTCAGGGTGGTTGTTGTGAGGATAATGACTCTATGTAAGCTGCTTTGGGTTCCTCACAAGAGGAAGAAAGGTAGGATAGAAATGAAATGAAATACTACTAATAAAAAAGGTTGTCCCATCCCATCCTGTCCTGTTTCATCAAAATGCTTGGCTATAGGACTTCTGCTTCAGAGTAACTGATTTGGGTTTTTTTCCCCTGCATGTGGAAATGTCTTGGCATAGCATAATGAAAGTGTATTTATGTCCTCTTATGGGGAATGGGTTGTGACACAAATAAATTATATTCACTAGCTGATGTACCCCCCACAGAATCAAATTTATCTATTAATTTGATTTATATTTCTTACGACAAACTCAAAGCAGCTTAGATAATTTTCCTCCTTCTGTTGTCAGTCTTATCCTCACAAATTTATCTTCTTTGGAAAAGGTGAGAACAGGAGCTAATAAATAAATGAAGTTAATGTATTCATAATTCCCTTGGAGTGCAATCCTAAATCCATTTATCAGGAAGTAAGCTCCCCTGAGCACAATGAGACTTACCTTGGAGGAAACATGCTTAAGATGGTGCTGTCAGGCTGCAGATGCACTGGGAAGTAAGATCTGTTAAACCCTGTATGAATCAGTTCTGAGTTAACGTGACTTAGAATTAGGTTTCAAATGTACTATCTTGGAATTATAACTAATTTCTAGGGCTGGAATCAAGCTTGCCATATGGAAAATAGCTCCAAGTTTTTGCTCAGTGGAAGTTGTTCTTTCCCAGCAGGCAATTCCTTCCTTCCTTCCTTCCTTCTCTAACAACTGCTATGTGTGTAAGTGGCCTGCAGAGAAGGCAGTCACCCCCACTTGACCATCCAGATCTTGGCCGAATGGCAGGCAGCATAAGGTGGTCTTTCCTTTCCAGCTCCCTAATATTGTCATTCCTTTATTATAGCCGATAAGATGCTAGATTCTCCTGTTTTGTTCTGAGGGCCACACACACACACTCAAACACTTCCATTAGCATTAGGCTTGAAAAAGAAACGCTGGCCCTTGCTCATCTCTTTCAAGATCATCTTGACAACTGGACTGTTTATGTGCTCTGAGTTAAGGGTTTGCAGGTTTGTAGCCTCCATTAGTTTCACTGCAATTGCTGAAAATGAGAGTGCAACATTTAGCATTGTTTTGACCAAGTCATGCTAGAGAGGGAAAAATGTCTAGCTGGTCTGGCTGCTGGGATTGCAAGAAAGATTAGGAAAATGCTCTTATGACTAGACAAAGGCCACTTGTGACCAAGATCAGAATTTTTCAGGGCTTGGATGGGATCTACACTGGAGGCCCTTTTGTTTGTGAGGCACTGCCATGCTGCTACTACTTTCACATTCAATTGCTGCCCTGTAAGCAGACGTTCAAGAATTCAGCACAGGGTCTGCTATGTTTATAATCAAGGTCAAACACCAGTGCATATCTGTTGTAATTGTGGGAGAAGTAGGGGGAGAGTGAAAGGTCATGTGTGTTCTACCATGTGTGTATATAATGCCACATTATAAGGCTCCATTCAATTAAACAATAAATAGGAACACATGCTCCTGTTTTAGGTTGCTTTTAAAAAAGATGTCCAGTAACTGCATGGCACCTTTGCAGCTGTAAAGGAATGCAGATTTTAAAATAAATGGTAATTTGTGTAGCTCTGTAGGTTTAGTGAAAAATAGCCTCAAATATTCCAACAAAATCTGTGCAAGGAAAGAGCAAGGAGGGAAGGAGGAGGTGGAAGATTTGTGGGAGATGGAAAGAGTGTGTGAGGAACTGTTGCAAAATAGGTTCTATAAATTTAAAAGCAGGTCTACTGCTGAAAGGTACAATATTGCTAGATTGGAATGCACATTACTTGGTAGCACATGAAACTGCAGTCAGCTGCCATGGACATAACTTATGTAGGCCCTCGACCAGTGGGTTATAAACAGGCCATGTCTGAAGATCTTCTAAAGGGGAAGTGACCTTCCTGTTCAGCAAAGGCATGAACACACACAACCCAGTTAAATAGATTTTAAGAACCAGATAATAGCTCTGTGGTAAAATGCATGCTTTATATGGGAAGGGTCCATCTTCAGTCCCCGATAGAAGTAGGTCACAGCTATAAGAAAGACCTCCACCTTAAAACCTTGAGAGCTTCCACTGATTGGTTTTGTGCATCAGCTCTCCCTCTTGCAAAAGTCACACGCAATTCTATGCAGTAGCTCTACTGTCTGCAATATGCACACCTCAAAACCTTGTGATCAGTTCAATACTTGGCAGGATATTTAAAAGTGAATAGATGCTTAATAACTGGTCTGAGGGACTGTAAAAAGCTTGTAGGCCTGATGGGAAGAACTCTCAGGGCTACACTCAGCCCACAGGCCAGATGTTCTCCATCACTAATGTAGACATTGTTGTGCTAGACACAGAAATAGCCTGATCTTGGAATTAGGCATATTTATGTATTTATTGGATTTTTAGCCCACCCACCCCCAGCCACATGGGTTCCTGGACTGGTTGGGGGACCTAATATACCCTACAAGCAAGGGCACTGTGTTCTGCCAAGTGCTTCACAATCCCTGTGTGTGTGTGTTTGCAATACATGTTTTGTAAGTGTTTGTAAGTAGCTGGGGTAAGATCCAGAATTGAAGCAGTTGAACAAAAGAATCACCAGAGCTAAACTATATTGTCTAGCTTTATATTATCCTCTTCTACCAGAGTAGTGGTATCAGGCAGCCAAGATGAAGGATGTAGTGCTGGCACTGTGGTGGTTCGTTGCTCCATCCTTTCCGTTTAGATCCAAGATGGTTATAAGAAGTTAAAGGGGCATGCAGGTTGGAGTTTAATCCTGTGAACGTGTGACTGGGATATGGAATGACACAAATTAGTCTCCTAGTCTGTGCACCATGGGGGCTTGGGTTCACGATCCCGGATTCCTTGGAGATCACTGTGATGGTTCTTGAGTTTATGGAAACCTATGTGTGTGTGTGTGTGGGGGGGGTCAGATGTCCTCCCCCACAAATGTGGATGCACACTTCTAGATGTTGCAGTAGGTGCTCGTTTCTGAATAAATATTACAGCATGAAAGTTTGAGGGCTCGGGGAAGATGACAAAGGCTGAAACTGCATATGAAATGCAGTCCCATGCCTGTTTCCCTCATTGCCTTTAAAACAAAAACTGCAAAATCATTCTTCCTTAAGCATTAAAAGCAGATAAGAGACAGTTAAATTGTCCAGCATCCCCCATCCCCTCCCAGGGGCCCAGATCCTCTTAAGAATTCTCCACTGGCTACTTTGGTTTTAAAGTGTTTCAGAGAAATGTGTAGCTTCAGCTTGGGGGTATATGACTAGCCTGCCCCAGCTGCTGATCATTTGGACTATGATGTTCATCTCTCCCAGCGAACAGATCACTCTGTTTGTCTGGTTAAGGATGCTGGGAGATGTCGCTTGCACAGCTGCAACAAGGACACCAGGTTGAGGAAGACTGATTTATACTGTGTCTGTATAATATGGTAGACAGAGCCTGAACATGGGATCTTTGGGTGCAGTCTCTGCTTAGCCACGCAGCTGGCTGGGTGGCCTTGAATCTTGCCACCCACCTCTCCACTGTACTGAGACATTATAATCTTTCAGCCCCATTTACACTGCCACAAACCCCTTGGGAAAAATGCAGGACACAAACAGG